TCCAGTGCCACTCCCTCCCACCCCGCATCCCAAGTAGCTGAAGGGGTTTAAACCCCTTCAGTGACTTACCAGAATTCAGCGCCAATGTCCCTCGGCGCTGGTCCAGGCTCTGCCCACGCTCCTCCCCCGCCCACCTCATCGGCATGCACATTAGACCTCCCCATAGGAAAGAAATGAAAAATGGTTTCAATGCTTCCCTATGGGGATTTTAGCGTCACCGGAGTTCGTCACACAGTGTGAGGACGTCCAGCGACGCTATAGCACAGAAAATATGTGCTATGAACCAGGAAGTGCCCTCTAGTGGCTTATGAAAACTGCAACATTTACAGTTGCAGGGTTAAGGGTAGTGGGAGTTGGCACCCAGACCACTCCAATGGGCAGAAGTAGTCTGGGTGCCTGGAGTGTCCCTTTAAATGAAAAGTGCAATTATAAACCGGATAAGAATATTTACTCCAGATGCATACTGTGGATGTCAGGGTTCTGGCGTCTCCTTATAAAGTGCTAAATGGAGAATCATATCAGTAAATCTCCTCTTCTCGTGACTTCAATATGTGCACATTTATCTATAGCTCCACAAATCATGAAGGTGATAACTCTGAATACAATATACCCTATATCTAAAGTAGATATAATATATCTCTTATGGTAATAAAACATTTATTTTCTATTTATTTTCTCTATTTTCTTTTAAAGGTTAATATGAAGGAGAATGAGGGGAAAATGAGGGAAAGGGAAGAATAAAAAGCAAGTTCTATTAAATCAGTTTACTGTATTCCACTATGTTAAGTTCTACATTTACTGTATTCCAATTACACTACGTTATGTTCTATCTTGTTACAGGCTCAGCTTATTCCCCATATTGTGGGAGATAGTATTATCAAAACAATAAATTGTATTTCTACAAGAGGATATAATGTAACCAAACCACTGATGTGATTAAAAGCAAACTCTGTGTATTCATTCAAACATAAACATAAACGCAGCGAGCAATATTAAAGATGCAGACTGTGTAGTTTATAGAGTGTAAGCTCACTGGAACAGGGCCTTCTTCCCCCCTTCCCCCCTTTCTATGATTGTACAGCGATGTGGCATATGATGGCGCTATATACATGCTAGACTTAATATTAAAATAGAAAAATCCCATTAAAGGACACTGCCACCTCCTGAATCGCCATCATCAGCTCACTGTACCACAGTAGTGAGAGCACTCAAATAGTCACGTTACGAGGATAATCTTGGCCATACGAAGGAACATCTTCTCAAACTCTTATTAAAGTGACGCAGAGGAGACACAGACACAAGGATTATCACAATTTGAACCGAACATTAGTAGTTTAGAAACATACAGGTTTATTCACTTAAGTGAGGATTTTAAGAGAGAATTTAAAGGGAATAGCACTTTTAAGACCAAAGCAGCTGATCTGGCAGCATAGCAGACTTGGAGAATGTTTGCAGTTTGGCTATTTCTACCTTGATTTTGGAATTCTCTTTGAATTCTCACATTAGTGAATAACTCTGGGATTCTTATTTAATCAGTGCCGGCTTCATGCTTTGTAGAGAGTTCGTACAGAAAAGGATCCAGTAAGTGGTGCCGTGGTTTGTATGAATTATTTTAAAGACTGAAGCTAAAATGGTAGTTAGTCGCATGGCTGTATGTTAAATTGAAATAAATCACACAGATAATCCAAGTGATGTGTCCGGCGATTCCTATTCCCAGAGCCGCCATATTCAGTTTAAACGCCATGCGTGAATCAATCGCCGCTGAAAACATGTCTCCGTGTCTCAGCGAGTCTCGTGACTAAGAAAGAAAAAAGAAACATGGCTATTGTCTGGCTAACTTATTACATGGTTAATTTACTAAACTCCAAATTGTGATAAATCGAAATCTGAATCAAATCTTGCAAAATGCTCCAACTCAACCGTAATCTCGTCCTGACTATTGTAACCTAACCTGCGAGCTTTTAATCACTACAGCTCACTGCTTAGTGCATCAACCCCTTGATATGTTTCAGGATAATCTTAGAAGAAATGTATTAATTAAGGGATTGCAATTTTGGGGTAAAATAATAACTTTTAGTAAATCGCCATTTTTTTCAGCTTTATTTATTTAAAGTCGGAAGTTAGGATGCATTAAGGGATGTAAGTTCTGAGTTGCATTGTAAGAGAGATATGTTGAGAGCCCCCACTCCCTCCGGTCTACGTGGATACTGGGGTCTGGGGACTTGGTTATTCTACTTATTAACCGTTAACAAGGTAAGTTTAAAAATGATTGAGATTTCAGGCGTTGGATTAATCTCTGTAATTTGTCTGTATGGAGATATTGATTGGGGATATTGATCTATTTAGACTGGAACCCATTTTACCTTGCAAGAGTAGATAACTGCGGCAACTCCGAGAGGCAGAAAGCACAGGATGAGGCTCACAATGGACAGGCACAGGTAGTCATTGTGGGCCGGTTGAGGGATGACCATCACATTGGGTTGGGTTGTCACTATAGGTGTCCCATCTGGCTGAGTGGCATAGCTTACCATGGGCTGCCCATTTGGGTACAGAGCTGGGTTTATGTTGTAACCAGGCTGAATCGGAGGTGCCCATTGATAATCCATGTTGTAGGTATATGGAGGGGGGTATATGCTCCCATTGTCTGCCTTCATTCTTTATCTCTCCCCGGATAAGCAAAGTCTCTCTACAGGCACTACGAGATCACCTCCATAAAGGCTTCCCCCTATTTAACCTGTGCCGGAGCTAGCCCAACATAATACTTATTGGCCAACGTCACCAGAGTCACTCCCAAAGCAAATACTGGGGGTTTAAATGAACATGTTCCCTTAGGAAGACTCTAAAGAGCTCTTTCAAAAGAATGTTGAATTATTGCATTTCTGTTGTCAGAAAATGACTGTATCATTAATTAATTTGTGTGATTGTGTACACTTGGAGGCTAAAGAAACCATTCAGAAAATCAAATATCACATGTCAATGCTGTAATCCCGTGACATAGTAACATAGCATTAGCGAAACAAAACATACGCATTTTATCGATCCAAAAGAAAGCGCTGGAAGAAATTCGATATCTTAAAGTGTAGCCTTACTAGGAGGGGGACTCCCTATCTTTATGGATCTAACTAACTCATTAACTTTTGGGGACTCTAATTTTTTTGCAAATACCACCCAAGATGATGTGTTAGCTTTCATGGTGACACCCGAGATCTCTCATCTACATGTTGCCATTTGCTTCTATGTCCTGAATCTCATGTCGCACTTTTATACTCGGCACAAGTGCAAGAGACCCTACCAGATATCTACGGAAGATCCTGCAAGACTATAGAGCAGGCTTCCCCAAACTCCAGCCCTCCAGATGTTGCTGAACTACAACTCCCATGATTCTATGAATGAAATAGGTTGAGAATCATGGGAGTTGTAGTTCAGCAACATCCGGAGGGCCGAAGTTTGGGGAAGCCTGCTGTAGAATGTTCCATAGATAATCGTGAGAATGCTTAATAAAAATCGATAAGTATGTACTGTATGTAACACAAAAATAGATTTATTCCTATCAGCCATCATGAGCCGCGGCAGATGAGAAATGGCAAGATGTAGAGAAATAAAATATGGGACGTTTTATACTGGGTGTTGTTTTGTTGCTACAAGGAAGTATTGTTTTATAAATACTGTGACGGATGTCTTTCTCCATCTTACAAGCTGTCATTCAGGTAAAGTTCATTTCTCAACATTTCCAACCTTTGTAAACCTCAAAATAAAATATAATTTTTAATATAATATTTTATTTAAGAGATGGAATTCTTAGTGTAAATCTTACCCGCTAGGTTCCTGTATTGTAGTAAGCCATCTACGGCTGGTGAAATTTACATCCTATCATGCTTTCTTGGTTCTGTCTGACCCGATGTACATTAGACTTTACATGAGAGTTACACCTGAGAGCGCTACATGTTGTTTAGATACAGTTGCCATGTTCGAAAAACATATGCGCCTTTGCATGATACACCATGAGAAATCCATGAATTTTTACTAAGAGTTTTTTGATTGTAATGTCCATGACGTTAACACGGGAATTGCATGGATTCTGTTAGCTCCAGAATTGTGGCATAGAGAAACCTCCTCAGTGTGGATATTATAATGATCACAGAGCTTATTTTTAATATTATCTATGATTAATATTATCTCCCCTCCTGTGCCCTTCTTTTATCCAAACTTTTCATGTTGGTGACACATTTTTCAGACCAGGCCCTGGGGAGATAGCGCAGCTAAGCGGACAAGGGCACATGTAGGAGTGTGGGGATAGATGCATGGGATTGGATGGGAAAGAGTGTGTGGGTGGGATTATGTTCTGTGTAAGTTAGTGTGGGGGAGGTCTTCAGTGGCGTCTCTAGGATTCATTTTTCGGGGGGGCACATGGAGGGCCAGTGACAAAAGTAGGGTGGCACATTTAACCCCGCCCTCGCCGCAGTTTGACCCCGCCCCTGTCACATGTTAAGCCACGCCCCCGACACAATGTGTTTTGTTTTTTTAATAATACCTGGTGGAGGAATCATGATTTTCCACCAGGGATTATTAAAAAAACAAACACATTACCCTTGATACAGTGCCATAGTTGCCAACATTTGAAAAAAAAATTTCCAAGGACATTTTGCAGCACAGCTATCAATTACTGTCTGGGTATAATATCCCTGGACAGTCAGTGCTCTCTGTATAATACAGGGTTGTGTGTATAATAAATTGGGACACTCAGTGCTCCCTGTATACTGCTGCTCTCTGTATAATCCCAAGACAGAGAGCAGCACTATACAGGAAGCACTGACTATCCCGGGATATTTTATACACACAGATCTGTATTATACAGATGGCTGAGCATATACCCCAATCTCTAGACTACTAGTACCTGTCAACAGCAGCTCCCAGACGCGTGTAACAGGGCTAAAGTGTGCGGCAGCTCACACAGATTATTCAGCGGTAAAGTGCACTCGCTGGCAGAGCCAAACTGGGAATCCCTAGGAATCCAAAGCAGCCCTGGAAAAAAAACGTATGCCATTCCTACAAGTCAAAATATATATATATATATATATATATATATATATATATATATATAGTACAGTAAGCACACAAACTCACTGACATGCGCAAACAGGCTTACTGACAGACAAAACTCTCTGACTCACACACAAGCTTACTACAGACACTCACTTGTATAAACAGAAGGCTCACTACAAAGAAGTTCTGGGACACACACACAAGCTCACTAAAAAGACAAGCTCACTGACACACACATGCTCACTAAATAGAAGCTCACTGACACACACAAGCAGTACCATTTTAACAGAGTTAAGGGCCCCTGGGCAAAGCAATACACTGGGGCCCTTCCTACACAACAACTCACAGGAATTTTAATTATTGATAGCCTGCGGAGTCCATACACACACACAGACTGCTGAGTCCATACACACACACAGACTGCGAAGTCCATACACACACACAGACTGCTGAGTCCATACACACACACAGACTGCTGTGTCCATACACACACACACACAGATTGCTGAGTCCATACACACACACACACACACACAGTCCATACACACACACACACACACACAGATTGCTGAGTCCATACACACACAGACTCTGCTGAGTCCATACACACGCACACACACTCTGCTGAGTCCATAACCAAACACAAACAGACTGCTGAGTCCATACACACACAGAGACTCTGCTGAGTCCGTACACACACAGACTGCTGAGTCCATACACACACACAGACTGCTGAGTCTATACACACACACACACTCTGCTGAGTCCATACACACACACAGACTGCTGAGTCCATACACACACACAGACTCTGCTGAGTCCATACACACACACAGACTCTGCTGAGTCC